AGTCGGCATCCAACAATGATGTGTCGACTCCGGTTACGGTCTCATCTGTGGTTTGCGGTGGAGTCAGTTAACTGTGGACAAAGTGCGGTAGTTAGCGTCTCACACATTGCTGACCAGTGTTCGCATCTCCGGTTCGCCAACAGATGCATCGGGTCTCCTTTTCAGTTAACGGCTAATTACCCTGAAGCCAGCAGTTCGTTAAACACTACTGTTACTATTATCAGTATGGGTTATTTATAGGCCTGGCTGTCGCATTACCACTGCAAAGGTCCTCAGCGTTAGGGTAAAACAAATTGACTTGCGATTGGAATAGAGTGTCACGAGGCTTTTTTACCCAAGATACAATTTGCTTAATCCTCGTATTGGGATATCAGGTGCCTCTTTGATAGCCATTTATTCTGACTCCGTCTGCACAATAATATTCGGTAATGAATGTGTACCAGGGCACCAGAATAACGTTTTGTCATTACCTGGCAGATCACATTTCTCTACTTGATATTTGTTTACAGCAACCCTCTAGAAAGCTTTATAACATAGGTAGTTACCATGCCTACTTTATAAGGAGTATAGGGTGCCGCTTCTAAAATCTATAGGACTTGGATGAAACATTTTAACCAATTGACTGGCATAAGTCACGCAGAAGCAAGTGCTCTATTTTGAGGGTGTCTCTCATACCAATCAATGGCGCCAGCACAAGCATATGCGGAGAAAGTTTTCAGTGGCTTCTGAGTATAAGAGCATACTTAGAGCTACATTCAAAACCACTGCCAACGTATGTAGCTATAAAGTCCAGTATGTTATGGTCGTTTTTTGTTGTGAAAATATCTGAAAGAGACCCTAAGGCACGTATGACAGTTTGAACAACCTGGCAGTAAGACCTTCCTCTTAAATACCAATTTATAACTAAAAGTCAGCATAAAGACGTATATCCCTTTCACTGTTGCGATTAGGCAGCCTGTAATTTGTGCTTCTTTAAATGCATCTTTTCGCAAATAGAAACGTAGTTCAGTAGGATAAGGCAAGATTAATCTTATCAGAATCAAAATTTGGTTTGCAGTGAAATTGATTTCGTCGGTGCGAAAAATGCTTGTTTCCGACAAGCGATCACAAAATCTGTACGGTAAAAGGCATGTTTGTGATTAGTCGTCTTCCTATATTTACATACCCAACTATAAAGAATAGTTCTATAGAATACGGCGCAGACACGGATAAAACATTTTACTTGATCAGAGCCCAGCAAATGGTAATTCAAACTTACCTACTGAGAATAGTCGACAATCTTGCCTAGTCTAATCAAGTAATTCAGTACTCGTATTCTATACTAAGCTAAGCTGCTATGCCCTGTAGATAAATTGCATGTATATCAAGTTTTGCGCCGTTTTTTAGGACCGTGAATGAAAGATGGTCTCACAAACATTTTACTATCACTAGGAAGTCCATGGCGAAAATAGAACAAATGCATGTGCCCCTTATACAGGTTGTCAACGAAAGCTTGTTACTAACATTTTTCGACGCTACGACAGGCGTACATCAGATCAGATATATTGCTGTCAGTTGCAAGAAGATTTTTTAGATGCAAAAAGAGATTTAAGGTCATGTGACAAACACAAGAACTCGTATTTTTTTATCTTTTAGAAGTTTATTCTACTTCGAGGGTTTGATACTTTCATTTCCTTTCCGCAAATACGGCGAGAACTGTTTGGTTGACAAATTTACACGTAAAGGGTCAAAAGAGGACCATAATTCCCCACGGCTCGGGCTAATCAAACCACACTGACTTCACAAGAGCAATGATTATGGTTGCCCATGAGAGTGTGATGATACGTGAAGATGTAGGCTTTCATGCCACGTCAGGAATTGCACATAATCCCATCACTAACAGGTTGACAGACACAGACAAAACCATTCCCTTGGAACATTAGCAGTTTGGCCGTTATTATAAATTGTCTCTGCTTAAATCTATCGATACGCCCATGACGCCGTTGCTTAGAGATTCGCCAGTTGACGGAGTCACTGTTAACTACTCAGAATGCAGATTCAGACTACAAAGGTTGCCTATTAGTTTGGTTTAGATGACACTCCCATTTTCTTGGCATTTAGTCCATCATCAGAAAAACTTAAAACATTCTGTCGAAATAGGTTTTGCGTAACACACTTGCACAGGCGGTTCATGTTTTTCTGTAACAGAAAGTGATCCCACCCCCGGGAGTCTTGACAGTGTTTTGTTCTCGGAGCTAGGTGGAGAGGAAAGGAGAAAGAGACGTGGGTGCTATTTAATTATATGTTCACTATAAAGTAATTCACTTGTATGCGACCGCTACTTTGCCCAGACTGTGAGATACATTGTGCTGGCCGCATCCGATGACAGAAGAACTGACGTACACTTTTTGGTCCCAAATATTGTTTTATTTTGCTCCACTTTTATTTCTTTTGTATGCTCTACTTTGTAATTTATATTTCCTTTCCCCTGATAGGACTCACCCACTTAACCCCTTTAACCACAGATCTCGTCCTACATAAAGGTGGGGTTTTGTTTCTGTGTTGCTACATATGATAAATCTTTATCAAAATATTTAATGTAGAATCTAGCTCTAAAACATTCGGACGGTATGATGTGCGCGCTGCTATCAAAAACCTTTTGTTTATTTAATACTTATAAGTGATCTTAATAGTCCAGCCAGAAAACTTTAATATATTGATGAAGAATATCGGTTACAAAAATGTGCGTGCAAAACCTACAAGGTTTTGCTTAAGTCTCGCATTGCAGTTCTGCAACAGAGCAGCCTGCATCCTTATTAATTTGAAACGGTCCCGCCGCTTTCGTGAACAAATATAAGAAACATGTTAGGCGTAAAAAAGTTGTATTAGAAGAAGTTACATCAGTAGTGATGGTAGCATTATACCCAGTGGGGGCTAAGTAAGTTTATAGCATGTGAGAGCATGCCACATACCGAAAGATTCTCCCGGTTGAGCAGCAACCTCTCTCCAGTGTGATCGACCAGAAGTATGTGGAGAATGGGGGCCAATTATAACAAACCCATGTGTCTTCGTTAAGCCCATTTCCCCATAGTATTTCAACTTTATTTCCAAAGCAAAGAGGTCCATATTCGTGCACATCAGAGGGAAGGTCAGCAGACTACCAAAGTAGGGGTTGGCCACGTTTCTCCTAACCGCCGTTCCTTCTTTCATACTTTTTCTACCCTCGAAGAGAAGCGTCACAGACACTTGTACATTCGGATAGAAATGGGAATTCTTCACAAATTCACTTAGGTCTTTGGCATCGAGGATGAGGACTGTAAGCACGTTCGCCTTCTTTTCATAATTGATGTCGACACACAACTGTCCAAACTCTTTAAATACATAGATCATCTTTTGTAATGGCTCCTGGACCTCGCAATATTTTCCAAAATAATTGCCCACCGGCGTCTTTTTGAGATCCACTTCCAGGTCGCCTAGAATCAGAGCTGCTTTTGTTGCATGTAAATGGTACACGCACATGTGGATGACAGTCTTGCTGATTGCAGTTGGCAGAAGACTGAAGGTAAAGATTTCCCGAAACCAGGGATTTCGCGTTTCCGAAACCACCGCGGTGCTGACGAAGTTCGCAATGTCAGCTAAGCGTGGCTTCATAGGGTTCTGGGCCGGCACTGTCTCAAGCCATATTCGCACAAAGGTGCTTGGCACACCGTTCCCGGGTGGGGCTGCGAGATTCCTGCATCCGATAACTCCAAGCAGTAGACTCTCCTCCTCTAGGCGGTACTCCAGGGCATACTGGATCTGGCTTTCACAGACCAGGCAACGACTCACCCTGCTGATTGCAAGATTCTTGTTATAATCAGTCACCTGGCTACTGTCTCCTGTTCCATGTTTTCGTCGGCGTACATAGACCCAGCTGAGAACGCCAATTGGAATAATTACAAGAAGAATAACAAAGATAATAAGAAAAATGAAGAAAAGGATGGCCAATGGCCTGCCATCGATTTTCCCAGTGTACGGCAGCTCCGAAGTAAACGAATTCACTTGGTCAATGGGAGTGGGGGAACTACCAGTAGAAATATTTGGTAGAAAGTCAGCAAATAAGTCAGGTGAAGATTGATTGAGGAGAGTCATACTGGAGGAAGCAAACGCACTGTCCTCCTAGCGAGAGTCGTCCCAACAAAGTGAACATCCTGTGTAAGTTGATAAGGTCACAAAAAGTGCATCGAAATATGACTGCCATTGTTTCGAATACACTACGCAACGGAAAGTACATTTTCGCGTTTGCTTTTATTGTTCAGTAGAAACCGCTGGTAGCATAAACCCCCGCCCTCCTACACCTTAGTGTGCAACGAAACAGGAATGTTGAACGTTTTCGAGTCGGTATTAAAGCACTTGCATGACCAGAAGTGAAATCCAGACGACTGATAATAATTTATGGTAGAGACAACCATTGTAAAACTGAAACTTATTAAAGTAAAACTGAAATTCTGAAGGTAGTCTCAACGTTGCAAAAATAAAAAAACATTGCCATTAATTTTTCTTTTTTGAAGTAGCCTTACTAATGTTAATTTCTATTTCATTTTGGAAAGCACCAAATCCAGATGTGAAATTGAGGCTTTAGAAGTGGTGCAACCTAACATGCATATTGTACGCCTAATCCGAAATACGAATAGAACATAGAGTACGTAACCTATCTCATTAAATGTTGCCGGTAAATGACATTTTGCAGATTTTATTTACCAGCATAATCTGTCTTAGTCAGTGTGCTTTTTGTATGCAGAATATAGTGATACGTAGTTTTAGCCAGGTGCATAAACCCAGGTTAGTAAATGTTATGTCTATATGAAGAACTCAAATTTCTACAACTGCGAGAGGTCATGCCTTTACACGCATTGCTAAAGTAAACTGGTCTTTCTTACTGCTAACTGGCTTTACGAACAAGCTACGTAAGGCCTGAAACATGTGGTAATATAGGTTTTGCAGGACATCGTTTCCGCCAAAGCATAAGTTAGGTACGGAACGGGCAGGAAAGTTGTAGTTTTCGGAATATGGTCTCTCTGTTGTGCACTTAAAATCTTGGAACGGGGAGTAAAAGTAAACAAATATAACGATAAAAGCTTCCTTACAAAGGCGGATTAACTTCTTTCAGTTGCAGTTGAAATATATTCGCTAACATTCAGGGTGGTCAATAAGTCGATGGACCTTCCCACCCCTGACTAAACCCTGGAAAAAGTGAAGTTGGCAGACATCTGTCAGGAAAATACTTAATTACAGCGCCTTTTAAAGCGGTAACTAATACGATGACGTTTATTGTTATTCCGAGGGATATTCTTTGTTGAATTGTGTTGTGAACCTTCCTTTTTTCGACGGTGGAGTTTTGTGTTTGGGCGAGTCTGAATATATGGCTTAAACGGCTATATGAAGGTG